CAAAGCACCCTGGTCAACAACACTTGGTACCTCCTCTCACTAGTTTCTTAGCTCTTTGCAACACGATTTTTTATTTCATCATTCACCTGAAATTGCTCTGTCAAAAGTCTCTAATGGTCTCTTAACTGCCAGATCTAATGGCCTTTTCTCAATCCTCATCTTTCTTGACTTGTTTGTAGCTTTGGACATGATGAATCACCTTCCACTCCTGAATACTTACTCCTTCATTTAGTGACACTCTTCTCCCCCTCAACCCCCGCTTCTCTTACTATCTGTTTGATCACTCGTTCTCCGTGTTCTTTATTGGATCTTTATTCAGTTCATGCTCACTAACCATGGTTGTCGTCCCCCCCAAGACTCTATCCTGGATCTTCTGTTTTCCCCTCTATAATCACATTTAGACATCATCAGCTCCCAGGGGTTTCAACTATCCTCTCAATGCAGATGATTCCCAAATCTATACATGCAGCCCTACTCTTTCTCCTGGGCTTTTGAACCACATTCCCAACTACCTTTGGATATCTCAAACCGGATGTCCCATAGACATCTCAAACTTTTCACGTCATTACCATTTCCCCCAAACCTTCCTCTCTTCCCAATTTTCCTATTACCATCAAAGGCACCACTACCTTCCCAGTCACCAAGGTTTCCAATTTTGGTGTCATCATCTCCTTCTCATTCATACTCACCCCATATATCCAATCTCTTGTCAAATCTTTCCATTTCTACCTTTACAAGCTCTCTCATACACATCCTTTTCTTTCCATTCAAACATCCTAGGACAGGCCCTCAGAACCTCTCATTTGCACTATCTTGATTAGTCTCCCTGCCTCTAGTCTCTCTTCACTCCAGTTTTTCCTTCACTCACTTTCCAAAATGATTTTCCTGAAGCACAGGTCTGATCCTGTCACCTCCTTACTCAATAAACTCCAGTGACTCCCTCTTATGAATACAAATATAAAATCCTCTGTCATTCAAAGTCCTTCACAATATGGTCAATATCCTATGGCCCCAGGCTTCTTAAACTTCAATCTCCTTCACATACTCTGTGATCCAACTACTTTGCTGTGTCTCACATATGAAACATCAGCTCTCAACTGTACACTTACATGGGCGGTCTCCTCTATCTGGAATGCTTTCCCTCCTTACCTCTGACTCCTGACTTTTGTTTCTTTCAAGACTAAGCTCAAATCTCATCTTCTGTAAGAGGCTTTTACTGGCCATCCCTTCTCCCTTTGAGATTACCTTCTCTTTACACTGTATGCATCTTACATGTACAGAGTTATTTGCATGTTGCCTTCCGTAGAATAATGTGAGCTCCTCAAAAGCAGGATCTGTGTTTTTGCCTTTCTTTGTATCCCCAGGCCTTAGCACAGTGCCTGCCATACGGCAAGCACCTAATAAATGCTTGTTGACTAACTGACCAAATTTGTCATCTTAATTTCTGGATGGAAATTTTAGTTCTATCAATGGAGTGTTTCCTGAGAACAGCACACTGAATGTTAAGACAGAATTAAGGAGAGCACAGAGATTTTCTAGAGCTCTCCTTATGACATATTATAATAACTGTAGTTCATATACACAGATAATACTGTAGTACACTGTAATGTACTTTCCCTTTTACTATACTTAGTGGTAGGTAGGGCAGATATTATTCTTCCCATTTTACTGATGAGAAAAATGTGGCTTGGAGATATTAAGTGACCAGTTAAGTGTTATACAACTAGTAAGGAGTATCAGATTAGGATTTTAACTCCAGGTCCTGAACTTTTCTAGTATATCATGCTGCTTCTCTATTATAGATGATAATTACTATTACTAAATCATTAATGCAGAACCCAAAATTTCCATTATCACCTTTTGGCCTAAATTGGCTTTTTCTCCTACTCTGTCATAAAACTGTATTTATAGGATTTGAAGTTGGATGGATGCGAAACCCATGTTCACTAGCCAAGGGACTCTTAGTCCAATCTAGTCAATGTGTTTTTCACTTTAAGCAAGGTAAAAAAGAACTGAAATCAAGTTAGATTTATTTTTTTAATTTGCATGGGAAATTGTAATCTCATCCTTCTTCCCATCCCTCTACCACACTCATTCATTCCCCAAATTCACTAGTTTTATTCTCTGGGCACAGAGGGGAGAGCTGGAAGAGATGGGGAGAAATTATAGGAAGATGTATTTCTGCTCAAATATGAGGAAGAACTTCCCAAATAATTACTGTTGCCTGAAAATGGAATGAGCTTCCTTGATTGGTAGTGAGTTCCTGATCATTGGAGGCTGCCATAAATAGTAGTCAGGAATACTGGAATTTTTGTTTCATAGAATGGTTGGCGTAGACAACCTCTTTAGTCCATTGCTACTCTTAAATTCTATGATTTTATATAAAAGATACAAAGAGGTTCAACTAAATGCACTAGTAGCCTTCCTTTGGGTCTTTTAATATTTCATAGAGACCAGGGACTTCAAAGAGCTGTCTAAATGGATGTCATAATATGAACAATATTCATTTTTTCAACCACTTGGTTTTTTCTGTTTAGATTACTGAAGTAATCAGTTTTGAGGTACTACAGATCTCATGGAAGAGGCCTGTCAGTGTTTTAGGGCCCCATGGCAACAGCACAATGCCATTACAAACAGGAGCATATGGAGAACCTCGCCATTTATGGGGCATCCCTCTCTTACGTGGACTCTGTACAAAATGCCCCTACAAAAATATAAAATTCCTTTGGTAGTAATTTGTCTCTTTGTCTTATGACTTACTTGATACTGACACTCACAGTAACAGTTATCTGTTTCATTACATCTCCTAAAACATATCCTAATGTCTAACTTGAGTAATTTCTTCTGCAACATAAGCTACTTTCCTTCTTTTCTTCTCTTCAGTGAAAAAGAGAACAATGGTTCATCTCTTTCTATACCAAGAGTTCTTAACCTAGGGACTATAAACTTGGTTTTAAAAAAAATGTTTTGATAACTGTCTTTCAGTATAAGTAGTTTCCTTTATAAGTCTATGTCTTCTATTTTATGCATGAGAAACTGTTATCCTGAGGAGGAGACCAAAGGCTTCACCAGGCTGCAAAAGGGGTTCATGACACAAAAATTATTAAGAAAATATATAAACTTTCTATCACATCCTTGATGATTCTAATTGTCTCCCCTTTACCTTCTCTTCTCTAGGCTAATCATCCTCAACATTTAGAATTTCCTCACTGAGTTTCCTAATCCTTAAATTATTTTCCATTTCCTTTGGACCCTATTAAAATTCTCCACAGCTTACTTCAGTTGCAGTGTCCCAAACTGGATACACCACTCTAATAAAGGCTTTTTTGCATGTGGAAAAAGTTGTAAAGTGAGTTTATAAACTGAATACAAAGGAATTCACATGGAAAGCAGAGAGCTAGCTAGATGCATGAATGCCATTAAAATAGAATTCAATGGCATAAAACTGAAACCATCATTCACTATAAATATTTCTTACTTTTCTACAAGAAAATGTCAGTGGCCTGTAGTGCCTGTCTTCAAACATGCCCATAACATAAAATGGGAAAGCATTTGCATGTAAAACCCAACTGTCATAAGAAAGCCTTTGAATATGCTCTGAATCACACATGGCATGATTTCATAACACCTATAGACTGGAAAAAATAGGACACTTAGTTCATTTGCCTTTCATTTCTTTTTCACAATTTGTTCTTTTCCTATTTGCCCATTACCAAAGATTCAGTTGTATTTAATTAAGGACATGACTGACATTACCATCAGTTAATTCTGTCCAACCCTACACAAGGCTGAACCTGGATTAGCATGATCATTTCACGGCCCAAACTCTTTTTCTAATACCACAAGAGGAGGACATCCTTGGGGTCTCAGTAGGGAATGAAATTAATGAGAATAAAATCCATATGAAGTAATATGTCTATAGGACAAGGAAGAGGAGATAAATATTAGAAGAATTAGGGGAGTTTCTTTTTTGTCCCTTAGTTTTCCCAGTACTAAGTTATCACTAGTCAAAATTTGGTCATTCTTTAAATATGGTAACGTATGGCGAGGTTCTCTAGAGGGTTCAAGACAAGGGTTGAGGAGTATTTTTAAGTCCCTCATTCCCTTGTCTGCTGGAATCAAGGGGTTTGGTGGAGGCGATGCATTTAGTCTCCAGAGAGAAGAAAGATGCTGTTCACACAGCTCTTCTACTCACCAGTCCATGCAGCAGCAATGGTGTTGGCTTTGAAGGAAGCCAACTGTCCTGCTCTCCCAGCCAGAGGTAAAGAATTGCATTGGTGGCCACTAGAGGGAGGAGGATTAGGAATACAGTAAATTGTTGGGAAAAGGCACCCATGAAAAATGCACATGGGACAACCAACACATCACCAACCACCACCTAGCAGCTACCTCTCTGAGTGACCTCTATGGAGTTGGCACATACCATTAACCCAGAGACCCAGTCACCAGTTACTGCTGAATGTTTCCCAGTCTGTCCCTTTTATCTTTGGGGGCTGGCGGGGAAGAGAGACTAAATAAGATCATGAGAAGTGCACACACACACACACACACACACACACACACACACACACACACACAGATGTGCACACACCCGTATGCTATCATTGCCCACCCCCAACCCCCATTTACAGGAAGTCTCAACTATGCTTTAGGATTCTTGCTCATTTCCTTACTTAAACCTTCTGATGTCCTTTACCAAGAAAGCTTTCGTGAAAAGCAAACAGCCCAACTTCAAGATAGTCTTGGGAGAAGCATCAGCAGAGAGAGGCACTCACTGTGCCAAGATGTATTTTTACCAACAAATCTGTACAAATTACATGAAGTTGAAAACAAACAAAATATAATATAATGAAAGCAAGTTTTCTTTTGCTCAAGGATAACTTGAAGCAGACCTGCAAGAGATATTTTAATTAGCTCCTTCTACAAACACAAAGCACAGCACAGAGTGGGTTGGGTCATCCATCCTGCCCTTCCATTGGGCTGTCTAGTGGGGATCTTACCTCCAGCACAAGTAGCTGAACATTCTGACCAAGGCTGATGATTCCATGCAAATCCAACTTCATTGTCTCCACTGCCCGTGCGAGTGATAGGAACGTTGAACTTATATCTAATCCCCAAATTCTGTTCCTGAAGTAGAATCTGACATTGAAAACAACTGATTAAGCTACATTTTAAATAGTAAATACAGAGCAACTTACAATGACATTTCAACTACATTTCTCATGTTTTGTGGATGGGGGAGAATCATAAAAAACAGGCCTTAAAGTTCTTTCAAATAAATCCAAAAGAAATTTGGGATAGCTGAAACACAGACATATCCTGATTTTGTTTTACTTCCATTAATAAACGTGATTTTTTTTCACCTACTATCTGAATTTAGTCAGTTCTATTAACTTTCCTATTTACACAGAAAGGTTATCAATTATGCAACCACTAAAAATTCAAGGATTTACATATTATACTGTCATGGAACACTAGACTTGAAGTCTAGGAGACCTTGTCATTGCCATAAATTATATACCCTTGGACAAGTCATCTGGCTTTTATATACCTTAATTTCTCCACCTGTAAAATGAGAGTGATAATACCTGTCCCCTTCCCACCTCAGAGGAGGATACATTAGAAAATAGTTACCATGATGATGAGATTTTCTGAAGTGGGACCCAGGGCTTCCAGTGACTCTGGTTCATCAGTTGGCCTCTTGTAATGGAAAGCTGTTCCAGCAACATCAAACTTCCTTGGCCAGTCAATAGTCCAGGCACCATTAATATAGTAGTCATCGCCTTCAGATTTTAAAGCTTAAAGAGAACAAAGTCACACATTTGAAGTACCATTTAATCCTGTGGCCCTGCTATCAGACTATACATAACTACTAGTTCAGGCAACAGCATACAGAAGAAGCAAGATCACCACTAAACTGGTCCCATTTGCCTTCAGAATTGGGGCTTTGGATATCTGCATACACAATTTAAAAATAATATTTCTCCCTCTCCTGAAAAACATGTCCCAAGACAATATTCTTTTACCATTAAAGTAGTTTCACTAGTTTGTCTCACAAGTTTCAAATATTCTGCCCATGTACTCAACTAACCAAAGAAAACGGAAAAATAGGTAGATGGTCCTGGGGCATTCGATTTCCCAAAACCCTATCCATGTTCCTTCTAATTACAAAATATTTTCACCTCTCTTAACAACCTGAGTAGATAGGGATATTTAAGCTTGAGAAGAGAAACCTCCAGGTGGACATGACAGCTGGCTTCAAATATTCAGAGTTTTCATGTGTAGGAAGCACAAGGCCTGGACATGGAGTAAAGTTACATGGACACAGATGTTAGATTGATCTGCAGAAAAATATCCTAATAATTAGAGCTGTCCAAAAAATGGAAGAGGTTATTTCAAGAGGAAGTAAGCTCCCCATCACTTGTCACCTATGGGCGGAGGATGCCCAGCCACTTGCTACACATGTTTTAAGGGGGATCCAGGCTTCTAGTGGGGTTGGATAACCCATGAAGTCCTCTCTAATGTTAATGTGAGGGTTCCATGAATATCCATTTCCTCCTCTGTCTACCGCTTTCCATCTTCCCTCTGATACACTGGGAAAATTAATTTTATTTCTTAAAGCAATTTGACCTTTTTGCACATGGACATATCAAGGTTTATTTAAAGATAATTGATTTTGCTGTGTCTTAAATTTGTTTTTATTTGGTTTATTCATAAATTGCTTGCCTACCCTTAAGTCTGATAGGTAATATGTTCCATGTTCTTCAAATTTTCTTTTAATATCGCTGTTTAGATCTAAGTGATGTATCCATTTTGACCTTATCTTGGTAAATGGTGTAAGATATTAGTCTATGTCCAATTTCTGCCAGACTGCTTTCCAGTTTTCCCAACAATTTTTACCAAATAATGAATTTTTATTCCCAAAACTTAAGTCTTTACACTTGTCAAACACCAGGTTACTATAGTCATTTGCTGCTGTATGTCTTCTCAGTTTCACTGATCTATCTTTCTATTTCTTTGCCAGTACCAGATAGTTTTAAATAACTACTGCCTCATAATATAGCTTAAAAGCTGTGTGAAGTGTGACTTGCAAAGGTTTTGCAGTATTTCTCAAAACTATATATGGTCTTTCTTTTAAAAATGAATAAAGATGAAAAGGGAACAGCTACTGCTTGCATTCAGATGGCAGAGTGACAAGCATCACCCAAATAGGATATGAGAGCTGGCCTCAATTATTTGAAGGTTTGCCAAGTGAAAAGAGTATTAGATTTATTGTACGTGGCCCCAGAAGGCACAATAAGCAGTAATCAATAGAAGCTGCAGAGGAGCAGATTTCGGCACGTCTGTGGAAGACATTCCAAACAATTAGAGCTGGTCAGAATTGGCTGTATTGTGAAGTAGCAGGCTCCCCAGTATCGAAGGTCTTCTAGTTGAAGCTACACGAACACTTGCAGCGCACTTGATGGTGCAGAGTTGATTCCCGCTAAGGTATGAGTTGGGCTAGACAGCTGCTAAGATCCCTTTCAACTCTGAGCTTCTGATTCTGTGATTTAGGTGCGCCCTCAGTTTCCTCAACTATTAAGCAAATGAACAAGTGGTGGAAAACACCTAAATAATATTGCCCGAAAACATTTCATAAATACAGCATGTATTTAACAAACACTTTATGCTAACAGCTATTTCCCAGAACCGAGAAGCTCCTGACTTGAGATGTATTTCTGTGTTGGGGTTGGGCAGCAAAGGAATAGGCTCAGAGATGTGGAACACCAGGTAAAGAGTGGTTAAAAAAAAGTAAGAGGGAGAGGGTACTAGAAATTATATTTCTTTTCAAGGTACTGCTGGTGCAGGAAGCAATCCTAAATTCTTAGGTGAAAGCAAAGGAAACTTCTGAGCTAATAGAAGAAAGAAAGGACCCGACAATATAGAGGAGCTGCTTGGGGGAGTGGGGGTGGGAGAGTACCATTCTGAAAGTACCTTTATGACACAGGTTTCACAGGAGACAGTGGTTGGGCTTGTAAAAGGAGAGCAAACTTTCCACCCAGCTTTCTCCAATAGTCTCTACTGCATCACTTGAGTAGACAAAAAAGCCAAACCACCAGGCATCAGGGGCTTAAGTTGCTAACTTTTCATCCTTTAAACAGTTTACTTGTGATTGTGTAAAGCAAGTGACTTTGTGACACAAAGTAGAAAGCATCCTCTTTCATGATGCCATGTTGTTTTCTCTCATTGCTTTAGTTCTTGAAAACTTCTTACCAATGTAGTTTTTTGACATGGCCATCTCTTTGACTTCAATGTGGACAGAACCTCTTGGAATATGTACAACTTCCATGTAGCCTGCAACATAAAAGCAGACCTATAACAATCTACCTACATATAGAGCTTTGGTCAGAAAATAAATCTTTACTAATGACTCATGAGAATTTGTACATTTTTAAAAGTAGATACATCTAGACTGGAATCCCTCTCATTTAAAATTGTTTTTACAATCAACTTTAAATTTAAGGCAGAAAGCTTATTCTATTGGCTTGTTATTTCTCCATCAATCCACAGTCCTGCACACCCTACTCTGATAATTTGTAAACCTTAAGGGATATCAGTAAGATCTGGACACGAACCTCCTATCCCCTAGGAGACAAGATGCTTGTTTTAAAATACAGCTATTCAATGCCTGGACATCTCAGTCCTTCTTAGAATTCTAATAGACTTTATTGGCATTTTTTACACTTAACACAATTTGATTTCTCTCCTATTTCAGAGGCAGCTAAAGAGTGGCTAAAAAAAAGTAAGAGGGAGAGGGTACTAGAAATTATATTTCTTTTCAAGGTACTGCTGGTACAGGAAGCAATCCTAAATTCTTAGGTGAAAGCAAAGGAAACTTCTGAGCTAATAGAAGAAAGAAAGGACCCGACAATATAGAGTACTGGGCCTGGAGTCTAGAAGACCTGAGTGCAAATCAGGCCTCAGATACTTGCTAGCTGTATGATCCTGGGCAAGTCACTTAAATCTCTGTTTGCCTCAGTTTTCTCAGCTGTCAAACAGGGATAATAATACTACCTGCTACCCAGGATTATTGTGAAGATCAAATGAGATAATATTTGTAAAGTATTTAGCAGAGTTCTGGCACACTGTAGGTGCTTAATAAATGCTTGTTTCCTTCCTTCCCAGTTCTCTGTTCACTTTTCTTATCTACCCAACTAGATATAATCTCTTTGGGGGTAAAGAGTCTACCTTATTTTTGTCTCTCAGCACCTAGCAATCTTTTGTATGTAGTAGGCACTTAATATTGCTTGTGGGATTGAACTGACAATATGAAGCCAGAAAGTCAGTAATTAGAATGAAAATTTAGTAAAAACAAACAAACAAACAAAAAAGCCACCTTTGATAGTCAGCCTAAACTAAGAAGTTAAAAAGTAAGGGAAGGAACAAAAATATTTTTGAGGTCTGAAGGGTTATTCATACACACTCACCTCCTCTGGGCAATGAATCATTGAAAAACCCTTCAATGGCATCACATGTGCTTCCATCCCCTCCACAGACTCGACATCTGTCTTCCCTAGCATCAGATCCCAAAATATTATCACAACCTACATGCTGGAAACACAAAATATTCAATATGTCACAAAGAAGGCTTCTTGGACCCATACCTGAAAAGAATGTATACAGTTCTTTTTTTGGCCACAAAAATCCCAGAAGGAATCACCATCCTCTTGCTTCCTGTCTACACTCCGACAAATAAGTCCTGAGCCAACACTTCTCAGGACAGAAGAATAAATAATTCAATATGATTCCACTACAAAGAAAGCATACAATTCTATTCTACACTCTCTTGTTGCCTCTTTTTTTTCCTGACGATCTTTCCACTTACATCTATACATCCCCATTCCCACTCCTGCCCCACAGACACAAGCCATGATTACATTTCCCACCTAGTTAAAAACAATATCTTGTCTAAGATGACGAGGCTCTGCCTTAATTTCACTGTAAAGAACAACAAGAGTAAGAAGCAGAAAATATTGGCTCATGTTCTGAAACAGTGGGTCTGTAGAGGACTGAGCAAGAGTCCAGAGGCTGCTGCCACCAAAACAATCAACAATTCTGTGGTAGTTTTATCCCACTGTTAAATCTCAAATGTGATCAGATATGGCATACATCTTTACTCATCATCATCTGGTGATGAGGAAGTTAAAATCTCAATTTCCAACTTGATCATTTTAACTCTCATTTATTTGTACAGATGTGGGGCCCATGGGTGTATTTTAGAAATTGAATTTAAATGTTTGATTGTCAACTCTTGAAAACAGGTACTTAAGTTGTGGCTATAAATCCTTAGGCCAACTGTGGCTGTCTTGATGGTCACAACAATTAGGGTCACAGAATTGGGATGACAGTTTACAAGAAGCCAGGTACATTGAAAAGTCTGACTCAGGGTGTTAACATGAACTAGAAACTGTATCATCAAAAGAATAATAGTGTATTTGGAAACAAGATGCAAAGAATTTAGCAGCTGTTAAGTCTAATAGGGTCCTCTGCAAGAGATGGGTATTCATTAGCCCTTCATTCCCACAGACTCAGGAATTGAGGCAAAGACAATTATGTTTAACCATATCGGTACTTTGGTGAATGAAGGCCTTTACACTCTTCTTATAATAAATTGGCCTCAACCCAGATTCTAGAAAAACTGTACAAATGCTAAGCTAGTCGGGTTAACTCCTTAAGATAAAATATCTCAATTAAATGAAAACCACTCCAATCCATTAAAAAAGGGGTAGAGGAGGAGGGAAGAACCTGAGCGCAATCTCATGCTCAGAGAAAGAGTTATGGCATGAAGCAGAATCAAATGCTCTCCCAAAGCAAACATATGGCAACCATATGAATAAGGGCCGAACTGGAAGTACTTCCTATGCCAGCTCTTTTCCTGCCATCTTGTTTGTAAACACCATAGAAAAATAACCGAAATTACAATTTCAAAACATTTTCATAACTCTGGCAAAACAATAGCATCATAACTAGGGCATTCCAACAAATCCCATTTGTATGGTGGTTGAATACAAATGGATTATTAAATCCATAGGCCAAATTCTACCTTCAGATGTATGCACATAGCTCCCAGTGCTTTTAATGGGAACTACCTGGTTCTCTCTAAAGGTGTACTTTTCTTTAATATTGCTAAGGGTGCAAGGAAGGGGAAAAAAAACTCACAAAAGTAGAAAACATATAATTCCCATTTCCCTGCCTCTCCCTCTCCTCCCACCCCTCAAAAAAAACCCCAAAACCCAACAAAGCAAAATACAATATCTGAGCAACCTTGCATTCTCCATTGATACAGATATCCAGTGAATCGGCATTGCACTGAGTTCCGTCTATCACTGCAGGGGCACGTTCCGTGTAAAAATTGTAACCTTCAGCCAAGCAATTTAATGCACAGGGCTTCACCCCACCTGGACAAGCACAGTAAGTAGAGGAGAAATCAATAAAGTAGTCCTTCTAAAGAAAGGGTAATTTCAGTATCAGCTATGTCAGTTGTGCGATTCCCAGGGACATCACATAGCACCTCTTGAATGTATATTCAGATGTGTAGTTTCTGAACTTCCTTTCAGCCTTTGCTAAAGTTTCTTGTTTGCCAAAACTGGGTCAACATCCTCCCTGCCAATACAACCCGAGGGACCTGCTGAGCAGCTCCAAAATTTGACATCTCAAGTATTTTTAACATAAGTTTTCAGCATATTGTAGGTCAAAAGTGCTCACAGTAAAGAAGCCTGCCAGGTGAAAAAAAGAAAAAAACTGATGAAATAAAGTTTATAGGAAAAACGAGATAATTAACTTTCTAGACAGGAAGTTCTGCTGAAGATATTGCCACTTGCTATTGAAGTTGGTGAGATCAAGTACGGAAATATTGTTTCACCAGAACCACTTCTTCTAGGAGCAAAAAAGAAAACCCTGCTTCTTCCAGGGAGGCCATGACAGCTGCAGGATAAATGGAACCTGCACCTGCCTTAACCCTGTCCTGTCCTCTGCCACAGCTCCAACACGGGAGAAATGGCACATAGGATTAAGCACTTTGATGACAGCTCCTTTGTGTCAACACCTAACACAATGCTTTGCAAACAGCACAAGCTTAATGACTCTTTCTTGAACTGAACCTAAGCAATTATTGAAAAAATAAACATAAAAAAATACAGTTATAGCTTTCAAAACCAAGTATTTTTAATTCAGATTAAAATGTAAGCCCCCTGTGGTTCCTGGGGAATTCCACTTTGTAACTAAAGTCTATACATGTTTAGGTAAAGATGGCAAAGATAAAAGTCATTTTTTTTAAGTGGGCAGCTAATGCACATCAGAAGATCACAGTCTATTTGGGTTAAATTTCAATTCAATAAACATTTATTGAAGGACAACTATGTCTAAGGCCCAGTACTGGCCCACTAAAGATGGGCTTTTTTCCCATTACTCAGCACATGAAAAAACTATTGTTTATTTGTGATAAATTATCACTATGAATAAGAATGATAATCCTGGTGATTAGAGGTTGTTGTTGTTCCTATGTTAGAAAAAAGAAGTTGACACTCTCTTCTGATACTGCTATCCCTCAGCTAAAACATCATTCATCATCTCACACTCAGATCACTGCAAAAAACTACTGGTTGGCCTCCCTACTTTTCCCAGTCCTCCTTAATTTCAGCGCCTTCCCTATGAGATTACCTCCAATTTATCTTTTACATATCTTGTTTGGACATATCTGTTCACGTATATTTCTCATTGTCTTCCCCATTAGACTGTGAGCTACTTGAGAGCAGGAACTGTTCTGGCCTTTCTTTGTATCCTCAGTACTCAGCACAGTGCCAGGCACATAGTAGGTATTTAACAAATGCTTGTTGACTTGATTTGTTGAACAAAGAAAGGACAGGACTGCCTTTAGGGGTGAAATGGGACAACTGGAATATACAACTGAGAGAAAGTAGAATTACTTAATTTGATTTTGCTTCTGTTTTCTCTTATAGAGAAAATATTGAAAAGGACAATACTAAAATAGCACTAAAATTCAAGATTAGCAGGATGGTAATAAAAGAGTACTTAGGTACTCCTGCTGACTTCTGGTCACTAGGCCCAGGCCAACTATTTCCCAGGGTTCTCAGAAAATCCATGGAAATGTGTGATCTCCAAAAAAATCATGGAGAACTGGAGAGGGGCCACAGAACTGGAGCATCACAGAATCACACAGTCCAAAGCCATCTAGTCTAACCCGCACGTGAGCACGAATCCCCTCTACACTATAACCAAGAAATGGCCATGCAGCCTTTTCCGAAGACTCTCAATGTGTGGCAACTCCGTCCCTAGGCAGTCCATCCACTTTGGGACAGCTCTGACTGTTGAGATGTTTTTCCTGACGTCAAGCCTACTGGATGCTCTTGATTCTACCCTCTGGGACCAAACAGAACAAATATAACCCTCTCTTTCCAATACCTCTTCACAAATATTTGAACACAACTAATTTTGTCCTGGCCCTAAGACTAATTTTCATCTTGCTAAACAACTCCCATGTTTTCAACCAGTCTTCACATGCAAAGAACCTTGAGGCCCTCCAACATCCTGAAAGCCTTCCTCCAGAGGCTTTCCAACTTACCAAAGTCCTCCCTAAAATGTGACATTTAGAAATGAATATAATACTCCAGATCAGTCCCACTTTCTTAGTCCTGAATATTATGCCTATTAAAATCACCTAAAGCTGCATTAGCTTTCTGTATTGACCTGTATTGAAAGCTTGCAGTCCATTAAAATTCTTTCGATCTTTTTTTTTTAAGACAAACTTCAACGTAGCCATACCCCTCTCATCTTGTATTTGAGAAATGGATTTCTGGCATCAAAGTATAAGACTGTCATATTTATCTAAGTTAAATTTCATATTACTAGATTTGAACCTTTCCTACATGGAGTGAAAATTTCTGTATGGACATGACTTTATGAATTCCTCCTACAAAACTACTGGGTTTTAGAAGGAAAATTTTACTGATAATTAAAATCTGGCAGAGCAAGCAAAAACATCTTGCTGCAAGAGCTGAACCTGAGTTCACTATCTTCAATTTCAGTCCTTCAAATCAGTTCACACACTAAGTGTGCTGTGTAATTATTATGAAGAATAGATTCCAAGACATATTTCTGCTAAGCGTTACCAGCTTCCTGTTAACTTAGGCATCTCACAGCCCAGAGTGTAACTAGGCTCCCTCTTTAGGTGATGGGCCAACATATTAAATTTGTTTCTTAAGTCCCTCTTAAATAAAAGCTTTCTAAATTCCTGTGACACTTTACTGGATTTCCTCACTATTAACCCACTTTCAGTGTTTTCTGACTTTTGATTATATTGGTACAGAATCTGATAGTGTTTACCTTTAAATGGTCAGATTTTTTTCTAAAATAAGGTATTGCCAGAAAAGGTCTTTTTATATTTCACTAATCCCTTGAGGAGGTTTGCCATGGGAAGGACCTACAAGTCTGTCTTGTCTTCTTTATAGTAATGATAGAAGAAAACTCCTCATCATCGTGTTTGTTAGTTTCAAGGCACCTCAACGAACCGGAGCCTCAGACTAGCAGTGAGGGAGCAACAAAAAGTGCTGGATTTAGGCTCCTCAAGCTTCAAATCCCACGTCTAAGCATAGTTTTCTCATTTCCTCATTTGTAAAATGGGGGTGATAATATCCTCAGTACCTACGCTCACAGGTTGTGAGGCTTAAATTATACAATCTATGTAACGCACTTTGCAAACCCTAAAGTGCTACATAAATGTCAATTATTATTATCATTACTAATGCTGAATGTTTGCCCAAACTCACAGCAAAGATGTGCTACAAGGAAGAAAGGAAATACGGATTTATACAGTGCCTACTATGTGCCAGACAATGTCAAGTGCCTTTGACAAATAATATCTCATTTGAGCTTCACAACAATCTCGTGAGGTAGGCTCTGGTATTATACTCATTTTACAACAGAGGAAACAAGCAGACAGAGGTTAACAGACAGCTGGGAAGGGTCTGAGGCTGGATTTGAACTCAGGTCTTCCTAACTCTAGGTAGGACCAGTGTTCCATCCACTGCACAACCTAGCTGTTAAAGCTTATTCTTTAAGGGTCAAGTGACTAACTAGCAGCTTCAGGTTACACTCCCTAGAAATGTAGGTTAAGGGGGCAGCTAGGTGGCGCAGTGGGTAGAGCACCAGCCCTGAAGTTAGGAGGACCTGAGTTCAAATCCGGACTCAGATACTTGACACTTGCTAGCTGTGTGACCCTGGGCAAATCACTTAACCCCAAGTGCCTAAAAATTAAAAATAAAAAAAAATAAATGTAGGTTAAATACACAAAATGACCTTTAGTCAAGTGGCAGCTAGGTGGTACAGTGGAGAGAGAAGGACCTGGAGTCAGGAAGATATGAGTTCAAATCTGCCCTCAGACACCTACTAGCTATGTGACCCTGGGCAAGAGTCACTCAACCTGTTTGCCTTAATCTACTGGAGAAGGAAATGGCAAACCACTTCACTATCTTTGCCAAGAAAACTCCCTGGACAGTATGGTCCAGGGGGTCACAAAGAGTCGGACATGTCTGAACAACAACAGCAACAACTTAAAAATTATACCAAAAATGCAATTATGCAAAGACTAATGATTTGATTTGTGAATTATCTAGGCTGCTTACTTTTCTTCCTACTTCCTGACACCCATATTTTATCTTTACCTTGATGCTTTCATTTCCTCACCTTCATTAAAAGGTAGACAGGTAAAGTAATAACAGGAGAAACCCAAATCAGTTATTTTTGCTAACTGATAACAATTTCTGATAAAGACTCCATGAGTAGGAAAAGGAAAGTTTGGGCATTAGCTATGGTTTTCAATGATTCACTTATCAGTAAGTGATCAAGAGGACTGGCTGGAAAATGATAAACTTTTTTTTTCCTGAACCAATGACCAGCAGTCTTAGCTTTCTTCCAGGCAGCTGAACAAAGTTCCTGATAAACTGATCCAGAAGAAAAAATCCCACCCGAATCTGCATTTGAAATCTCAGAAGCCAAGAAAGTTTTTAAGGTTGCTCCTGATATCCAGTCAAATTAATTAATTGGTGATAACTCAGAATTTATGTCCCAGCTAATGGGCACTTATCTATCTATCTATCTATCTGTCTGTCTGTCTGTCTATCTATCTATCTTAAATCACAATCCCCTGATAGTTAGACTTCATCTAAGATGGTGCATCAACTTTTCCTAAGACAACTGAAGCTTATTTCAGACTGATGGTGCCAGACAATGCAATGATTATAAATGCTTTAGAAAGGCAAGGTATACCTGTAATGACCTCTACCTACTAAACTGAGAAGTCCCAAAAGGAAACTTTAAAAGTTCCAACAGGGAAGCTGTCACACTGTCAGACTAAACCCAGTAGTAATGGTCTAAAGCCCCTTTTCCCACCTGTGAAAAGTCTGAATATTAATTAGCCAACTATTCCCTAGGACTCTTTCCTCTCTCTACTAGCATCAATCAATACCAGTCCCTGAGATCCAGGCTCCTCACTCTCTTCCCCCAGTGTCTCGTCTGGCTAGACTCAGATAAGAACTCTATAAAAATCCATCAGACTTTAGTGGTTTAAATGTACATATAGGGTGTCCCATTCCCTTCAATGCCCCCATGGGAGGAACAATTCTATTAAGAGGAATCTGACCAGTTTCTACAATCTTCCCTGACTGCCCTTAATCTTGTGGGTGCCTTCACTTAATAAAGCTGTCTTGCTGTCTTGTTGTGAGCTCTATATTTCCTTGTATCAAGACTTTTGATATTCAGGACCTTCCAAAGTCTGTGTTAAGACAATACCTCAGAGTAGCCTCAGACAAGACCCATAAATATGACACTATTTTGTGTAAACACGGAATCCACTTTAAGGGATTTTGTACTCATGAAACAGAAGTACTAGATTACTTTACGATTTTCATCAGCTGCACTAACCTAGGAACCTTCATAAAGGCAGAAATGTCCCCACAAGAATCACTTTCCAACCAACACTTATATCCTGGGCCTTGAGAACATGATTCTCTCTACTAGTACCTGAATGGCAGCAAAGATCTCAAGCATGTTGGAGTCTCCATTACTTATACATTACCTCCAGTGTAGGGCTTCCAGTTATAATATTTTCCCCGGAAAGGCATATTGTCAAAATCTGCACACTGCTTTTCTCGAAAATCTCGGGCCCCCGAAGGGCATGGCTAAAATGGAACAAGAAAAAAATCATAAATGCACAGTTGCTGAGAAATGGGTTAACAACTTGATGGTCTTAATTGCCACTGCTTTAGCTCACAACTTCGCATTGAGCCTCAACTCTATTGTTTTGCAATCAGTATTCAGACTGAAGCCTCCCTGTTTTTCAGTCTTAAGCTGGTATAAAATTACTGAAGTAATTTTAAACAAAGTTAAGTGTTACAACAGTTTCCGTACAACCTGACACTTAGACACAGGTCACAATTCACTTTGCAATCAATCCATCAGGTACCTCCTTATAAACACATGTAAAAACTAGCTGAAGAAGTTAAACACAAAGTCTTTTTTTAGTCACACAGCTCTAGGTGCAGCTGCTACAGCTGTTCTCAGTGAGGTATTTAAGGGATCAAGAGGCAGGTTTGCAACCTGACATACAGCACTATTAATTGTGATTTGGAGAACTACTACTGTAGCTGTTTACTGTCTAACCATGACAAAGACCATATTTTAGGGCTGGGAATGACACTGGGCGAAATATTTGGCCTAAAGTTTAAACACCTTCAAATTCAAGGAATTTAGGGGCACTGAGATTTACATTAAGCTTATTAACATCATCAAGAATAAAAATAATGAATATGTCTCAAATGTGTGTGAGCTCAGTATATAAAAGGGGAAAGACAAGGGTTGTTTCTGGATATTATTCTTCTATGTGATATAATAAAAAATAAAAAGCACTGCCAATCCAGCCAGATCTCAATTCCAAACAACACAGGTACTGTAACAAGGCTGCATCTGGAGTCTGAGAACCTGGGTCCAAATCCTCACTTTACCATTCCATAATCTTGGGCAAGAGATTAAACTCATCTAGGCCTCAATACCCATCTTTGTGAAATAAGAAGATTGGACAAGACCACTGGTGTCAAACTCAAGTAGAAATGGTGGCCACTAAATTGTACATAAGGATCCCAACAGCTATCTACTGACTTAGAAAACCACATATTAACATCTATGTTTTATTGTATTTTTAATTTATTTCATTAAATATTTCCAATTACATTTTAATCAGGCTCAGGGAGGTACAGGTTGCCATATGTTTGACCTCTCAAATGATGACCTCTCAAGCTCCTTCAATCTCTGAATCTATGATCCCTATGATTCCCCAAATGCCCTTCCAATTCAAAGAGTTCAAAGTGTAACATCTTGCAGTGTTTGAATCATCTGGCCTAATTTGATTTATCTTGTCTAGTTCTACAGCTACTTAAAACATGAACTTAACAAGCTTTTGAAATGCTGATTAAGAAAACATTTCCCTCAAACATGAATGAAACATGTCATCAGACCAAAATTTCTAATTGCAAATAGATGCAGAATACATTACTGCTAGCTCCACAACTCATTATAAAAGCAATTTTACAACCCACCTATCTCTCTTCTCAATTTCTATATGCTTTTTTGTGATGTTTCCTAAGATGGATTAAAAAATATATTTTTTTAAATTATATATCACCACATGGAAATAGTTGCATCAACATTATAAAACTCTACATTTAGTAGTTTAGATTCCTACCATATCAAGACTAAAGTTTTAGGATTTGAAAACAGTGGCATACATTCTAGCCTCTTTTGGGAACCCTAAACTTTAGAATACTTTTAGGAATACTAAAAGACTCAGTCACAGTGCCAATAATTCTACTTGTCAAATTGCTCTTCTCACTTCTAATTAACAAGAAACAAAAATAGGCATGCTCCCCAGATGACATGGTACATCATGTTGGAAAGATGTGCTTCCTAGGCCCTTTTGCTCCATAACCTACTACACTGTGGCATCAAGTAATGTTTCTCATTTACGTACTTTTAGGATATATTGCAGCTTTTGATAATCTTTCCGTTTAACAGGATTTTTTTTGAGATACCTACCTGATGCTCTTGGAAATGCAATTCATTTGTAGTTTACCATGTCCTTTTGGTCACAAGTTTTCAACAACTTCATTTAAAACTCATTCAATAGGCATTAAGCCAGCACTCCAGTTATTGTCCGACTTGGAACAACAAGATGTACAACAAAAACGGATGAAGGAACTAGAGAAAATCCCAAGGTAACATATGCAAAGTATAGAATTGTGCAAAGGTACCAGGAGAAAGCAAGTCAGAGGGAAGATTGGGATAAGGTGGCTCAGGGCAGGCAAACTTAGAGGAAGCAAGTCTTGAACTGAGTGCTAAAAGAATCATAAAAACTGAATTAAAAAACAGGGAAAGGCTTTTCAAAAAGATCCCAAAGGCATGAAGGTAGGAAGGTATAGTGAAGGAATGGAAATAGATTTCTCAAAGTTTTTGGTCTCAGGACCCTCTGACACACTGAAAAATTATTGAGGATCTCCAAAAGCTTTTGTTTTTGTGGGTTGGAACTACCAATTTTATCATATTAAAAAGACACAGTGGATAGAATGCCAGCTAGAGTTAGGAGGACCTGACTTCAAATGTGGCCTTCAACACTCACTAGCTAGGTAACCCTGGGCAAGTCACTAAACTCTGTTTGCCTCAGTTTCCTCATCTGTAAAATGAGCTGGAGAAGGAAATGACAAACCACTCCAATATCTCTGCCAAGAAAATCACGAAGAGTCAGACACAACTAATTGACTAAATAACACATAGAAAATGGGATACCATTATGATTGGGGCAGAGGGAGATGAGATTTATTAAGTAATATAGGATTGGTTAATAGACTGAAAATAAAGCTTTTTATCATGTGTTTTAAAAGGACATTTTTAAAAAGTCTCAACTAAAATCTCATCTTCTACAGGAAGCCTTTCCCAACCCCTCTTCATTCTAGGGACTTCCTTCTTTTAATTGTTCCCTATTTATCCTGTATATAGCTTAATTTGTATATATTTGTTTGCATGTGGTCTACCTAATTAGACTGTAAACTCTGTGGGGGGGGGACTGTCTTTTCCCTCTTTTTTGTATACACAGTACTTAGCACAGTGCTACCACATAGAAGGTGTTTAATAAATGTTTATTGAGATTGTAGAAAAAGAGGATCAAAAATTATCTTGACAGTCTAGATTTAAGATGAAATTTAATAGCAATAAATGTAAAGTACGATTCTAAAATTCTAGAAAAATCTGTAAGAAAGATAGGTCTAATAGTTCATCTAAAAAGAACCTAGGGGTCTTAATGAACCACAAATTCAAGATGAGTCAATAGTGTGAAGTGGTAACCAAAAAAGCTAATGCAATCTTAGACTGTAATATTAGAGACCTAGAAAAGAAGCAATACACTGACCCTGATCACACATGAGAAAGAATTATATTACCTTTTAGGAGGAACATACACTGAAAAGGAGGGAAGTCTACTTTCACTGGGTGCATATTACAGATTAAAAAAGATTTGGACAGTCTAAAACAACGAGATGAAATTAATAATCTAAGTTTCTTCCTGCAGAAAGACTTGTTGCCCATTTACTTGTTGGTGATTCAGGAAAGCAGGCTCTTATTCTGGTAAACCTTGGATGAGATGACCCTGAGGGTTTTTCCAATGTGCAGATTACGATTTTTAAGTGTCTATAGCAGTAATACTAAATAAAGGATATTTCTAATAAGCGGACCACTTAGATACCATTTTGTACCAAAAAGTACAGGCACCATTTTTCAGGTATCTATTCTTTTTCTATAATAATCATATAGAGGGTAAGTCTAACAAATACGCAGAGTTGACAACTACCCGCACGGCATTAAGTGCAAAAATACCTTCTTCACTATTTTACTAGTGTCTTGAATTCCAACACAACAAATCCATTCCTTTGTCTTAAGGTTCTATTCTCTGTTAAAATACAAATACTTTTAAGACAGTTTCTTAACCTAAGGCCTGTGAATTTGTGTTTTTTAAAAATAAATATTTTGATGACTATAATTTACTTAGCAATCCTATGCGTTTTATTTTATGCATTTAAAAACATTATTCTGGGCAGAAATCTATGGCCTTCACCAGACTCCTCAAAGGGTCTGTGACATAAAAAAGAGTAAGAACCTCTGAATTAGAAGATACACCTATGTTCAGCCCCATCTGGACCACCAATTCAGCTCTATCTCCTTGGTAAGAGATTTCATTTCTCTAGGTCTGTGGTTGAAGGGGGGTGTTCAGACTTTGATTAATGTTTCCCAACTTGTGTGACACAGAATCTTGGTGTTGTATGACATCTGAATAAGGACTCTGTGAGGGAAAAATGATTCCAAAGATATTTTCTCTTCAGAATATTAAACATGAAATTATGTATATACCAAAATACTTAAATAGAGATATTTTTCAGCTTAAAAATCGGACATTTTATTCCAGCTATCCCAGTGGTAGCATTACTATTACATCTACATTATAATCTCTGCTTTCAAGAAACTTACGCTCTAGGTAGACAATATCTATCTATATATATATACACACATATATGTATGTTTACAGCAGAGATTGTCTTGATATTTTCTGTTTGTATTCCCAAATGGTTAGCACAGTGTTTTGAACATTGTAGGTGCTTAAATTTTTTTCATTCATCCATCCATCCATCCATCCATCCATCCATCCATCCATCCATCCATCTATCCATCCATATACTCTGAGTTTTGTGAATAGAATGAAGAAATGATTATTGTTATTAGGCATTTGTGATTGGGGATGGAAGGGAAGGGAAAGAAAAGAAATTCTAATACTATAGATGATGGATAGACTTAAAATATATGTATTATTGATATGAAAGCTTATTTTTAGATATGGTTCAGCTGGTCTAACTCCCCCTTCCTTTTATGAATGAGGAAATTGAAACCCAGAGAAGCTAAGTGATTTGTCCACAGTCACACAGGTAGTAACAGGCAGAATTGGAGTTTGAACCCTGACCCATCAATCCAAATCTGGCACTCTTTCTACTATAACACACTGCCCTACAAATATTTCTGCAGCTTGGGGAAGAATGCTCAATGATGTAGTCACCATTCTGAAGGAAGAGAAAGAACTTGGTTAATT